AAAGGAAAAAAAAAAAAAAAAAAGAGATGGAGGAAAAGAAGTTCACAAATCTGTGGGACATGTATGGTATCTATGGTAATCTCAGCGTGTTTTCAACGAGAATGTCCCGAACGTTCTTTTTCATTCATTTCGGTGGTGCATTTTCAAATTTCCATTGAAAGTGAAGGCAGATTTTAACCGGGAGCCCGAACCTATGAGGTGGAATGATGCACCTGTCATTATCTACCAAAATATTATAACAGTCCTTGTTTTTTCAACCTCGTGGGTTTCACATCGTGATCTGCTGGTATGAAGTTAAATAAAACCACTCAGAAGTAGTACGAAGTACCAATTTTTATTATTGTAGAAATCCATTTATCAAATTGATCTTATGGGGTGATCTGTTCCATGATGGTATCTAAAAATCGCCGATATTATAGCAATTCCTTCTTTTTTTTTTGGTTCTTTTTTTTGGAAGAAGGGCAACGGCCTTGAGATATCATAGTGGAACTGACCGACCCAAGTACACAAAATGGAAGAAATCCAATTATCAATTTTATCTTAGTTTTTTTTGTGTTTGGATTTGACCTCAGGTTTGTATTTCAACAGTTCATTCACGTACCAACTGACCTAGGTAGGCCCTTTCATTTAAGCATTTTTTAATTTATTATTATTATTATTATTATTATTATTATTATTATTTTATTATTATTATTATTTTTTTCCCCTTCATACCAGCATTTTCAACCGGACCAGGATATGGCAGTTTTTCCATCGATCGTGATATTCATCTTCTGCATTGACCATATTTTTTAAGTGTTAAGTTGTTAACCATCCATGGATAGGGAGTACGAGTGCCGGATGGTTGTTTGGTTTGTGTCTGGATATTAGTCCGGGTTCCGGTTTTACGCTTCTGACATCGGTTCTCCGGACTCTGCCTCGGGAAGCGCGGCCCTGTCGGCCCCCCCTTTGTTCCTTAGTTTAGGACCTTCTCAGCCCGAGAATGGGCGCGTGTTTTGCGGCTGTCTAGGGCCATTTTTCGGGCACCTGGAACCGTTCAGTTTGGGACCGGTAATTTTGTCATCTTTCAGCAGTATATTAGGTGTTAATGCAATTAGGTCTATCTCTTTGGGACTGACTTCTAGCTACCCCTATTGGCGTCCGGACGTTGGTAGGAGGAACGGACGGAAGCGGGTAAGCGGTTCGGCCTGGTTAGTACGGGACTAAAGGTGGAATACCCCCTGAAGATGACGGCGTGGCGGCCGTAGAAACGCGTCGGGGACGCCTTTCCGATCTCAATTGTTAATTGCTTTCATTCTACATGTGTTCTTGGTTGCACATGAAGTTTTGTCTTGTTTGCTTTCTCTGCAACGAAGACTATCTCCTTTTCTGACTTGAAACCGCGCACGATAACTCGCCTGGAAGTCAAGAATGCTGGGTGTAGTGACCGTGTATACATCTATCTACATATCGAAGATTTTCCTGGAACTCGAAGAACCGAAGACGGTGAGATTTGTGTGGACATCGTTGCAGCTGCGCGTCATAGTGGAGTGATCGTGTCGCACTAGTTACCATGGCAGGCGCTCAGCAACGCGAGGGTTATCGCTCCGGGAGTGACTGGCGAGGCGATGAACGACGTAGCGAGCGATGCAATGATAGACGCAGTAATGATAGACTCAACGATCGACGTGATGACCGGCGGAGCTACCGCCCTCCGATATGTTTTTCTTGCGGCGAGACGGGGCACTATGCTAATCAGTGCCCTGACCGTGATCGTGACAGACGACGACACAACTTAGACAGACCGTCTACGTCGTTTGACTCTCGTCTTTCGGGAGCGTCGGGAAGACCTGATTATTGAAGACACTTCGAGTCACCCCCTAGGGAAGGCGGTGAGATTAAGAGTACTGTGGCGGATTTTGGTAAATCTGTAGCAGCTATGAAAGACTTCATCGACGAGGCAAGAGTGAAGAAGGAGGAGAAGGAACGGAAGAAGCGTGAGAAGAAGGAGGCTGAAGCCCGCGAAGCCGAGGAACGTGAGCGGCAGGAGAGGAAGGCTAAGAAGAAGGCCGAAAAGTATAAGAAGGAGCAGGAGTTGGAAGCACAGCAGCGGGAGGAACTGCGGAAGGATAACAATATTCACCTGGCTATTCGTATGAGCGAGATGGAGGAGAACTTCGCGAACAGGGTCGATAGTGTAATAGGCCCTATTCGGGAGTTGATCAAGCAGGGTAAGAAAAAAGTTACGTACGCAGCTACAAGTTTGCGGACCTCTTACGAAGAAAGTGATACTAGTGTCACCCAGGAGTTGAATGCGCAAACGGAGAGTTTGTGCATCTCCGAGAAGAGGAAGAGAGGCCCTGAACCAGTTTTTGAAGATAGTCCACCTATGGTGCTGTCGCCAAAGCGTACACCGAAGCGTGGAGCGGTGAAGCCAACTAAACTAACTGGACGTTTGACCAGGGCGCGCACAGCGGTTAAGGCCCCTGGATTCGTCAAAAGGATGTCACCAATCAAGACCCCTCTGTCGGAAAGATTGAAGAAGGCAACTCCAAAAAGGACACCTGGAGAGACATGCACGCCAGCCAGTAAAGGCGCTCTGCAACGCCTTCGTTTTCGAGATTCTATGATGAAGGAGCTCAAGGACCTCGATGCTACCGAGCTGCAGCGAATCTGCAAGGATGAGGGGGTTCCATACGACGGTAAGATTGATGCAATCTTCGCCATAGCTGACAATCACGCCAAGGAAAAGTTCGGCCTCGATACTGTCGATGCTAATGAGGTAATAGCTGTTGATGATAACGATACGTGTGACTCACCTAGCGAACCGCGTGATGAGTGATGTGGGTTGGAGATTCCGATTTTATGGAAGTTATGCCGATACTTTGTTAACCTGCGATGTGAGTCCGCTACCGTCAGTCGTCTAGTAGAAGAGATCTTGCAACTGATCGTCCTACGCTTGTCGTTAGATGGTGAGATCAAGTGGTCCCAGTGCTGCATCAATAACTGGCTGTGTATGTATGATAAGCATGGTATAGACTTCCTACGTCTTCGTAATGTTGTCTACGTTGGCCTGTCGCCGTATTGTAAGTCGTTATACGTCGGGAAGACCTCGCGGGACGTTACACGATGGCGTGAACATCAATGTGGTGAAGTCTCGGAGACCTGCGCATTTCCACCGATGGCTATTGAGCTACGGTGTGGGGAATTACGTACTGTTGCCGATTGATCATATCGAGGGTGTTGACCTGCTCAAGCTAGAGCAGTTATACATAGGTCGTTGGTCTCCGTTCTTGAACTCATCTGGGGTTAAGAGCGCATGTAGTAGGAAGAAGCATAGGCCAGGTCAACGGGAACGCGCGAAAGGATGCCACGTGACCAGCCGAGTCATAAAAGCTGATAAAGTCTTACGATTCCGATTCTCTGCTACTGAGCCTTGGTGCGTAGATTTTTATAGTCTGCTCAATTCAGCCTATGTTGAGCGTTGTGCTGACGTTCAAATTATCGTAGAAGGAGGCAATATATGGCAGTCGGGCTGGAAGAGGATTTGTAAGGCTTTCGGTGAGTCAAAATTTAGGATCGGCGAGGAAGTTGTTACTCTGAAGCAGGCTAAGTTGAACCTTCAACAAGGCGGAGTGTTTCAGATCGTGCACTGGTGGAAGTGGAAACCCAAGTGCAGGTACCTTTAAGCATCTTCTTGTGCAGATCCTGCGAAACCCACGTAAGTTGGACGATCTGTATCGCTGGAATATCAAGTCGTTATTAAGTCTGTACTATGTTGTTAAGGACTTTAGCAAGAACTCCACTCGCAAGTATCTGCGTCGGCTCATCTCCAGGATTTTTTGCGTTCGCTTTTTTTTATGGGATCTGACCCAATCTTTCGTCTGAAATTTGATGATCGGATTAAGGTATCCGAAGTTCGGAAGGTGTTGAACAATGCAATTATGGGGGGAGACTTACCCCGATGTTTACTGTTGAGGTTGCGGAGGAAGGTTCGAATCGTATGGGTGAAGAACCCCTCGATTGCGGACTCTATGCACAATCAAAGGGCATTCGCTGCCCAGAACGTGCTTACGTGCAAGTGCGCAGGCTTACCCTTTCCTAAGTCGGAAGGGCATGTCCGCTTCCGTGTCAGTAGCATGGAGGATGCACACCCTCTCTTGCATAACGCCCGGAATGTGCCCCGGGTGACTTGTGAGGATCGTCTGGGGTTCTTGCAACGAGAGATTGCTGAGGGATTTAAATTGTGTAGGAACTGGAAGGGGAAATTGCCGAGTGTTTCCAGGGCTGACCTCACCTGCTGTCTGAGCGACCGGTATGTACCTGTTGAGGACCATCTGCAGTCACACCACGTCCGTAACCTGATGGATCGGCTTGAAGGACTTGTACTCACCCCGCTGGACCGTAATCCAAGGGAAACGGTGGCTATGTGCCCGTTCTTGTATTATAAGGCCATGTTATCTACCTTCGTGTTCAATCGAGGGTACAAAGTGATGGAGATATCAGTTGTGCAGGTGCTCAGAGAGGTGAAGGAGGACGCAACGTCGAGAGGTCTGACGAAGTTTGTTCAATGGGACATGTCTGGTGAGTTTGGTTCTGCCTATGTGTTACCAAAGCAGAAGGACTTGGACAGATATCGGCCTATCTGTCCAACGTTTAAAGAGCCTATGATTCGCACTAGGAGAGCCATCTCAAGATGTCTCAATCACCTGCTGAAGACGCTGCCTAGAGACTGGCATTTCAATTTGATGTCTGTCTCTGGGTTAGCGACCTGACTGAAGGAGGTCAACGCTAAGCTACTTAATCCACGTGACTCATTCTCTGTGTCAACATTCTCCTTTGACATAAAGGAGATGTTCAGTCAGTTGCCGCACTCTGACATTCGCCAAGCCTTGGACTGGCTATTCGATTATCACCGTTCGAAAGGACGAACTTTCGTGAGAGTTAACACGAAGGGCAAGGGATCGACTTTCGAGAAGACAACTGGCTCCGATCACTGGAGATCTCCCGATCTCGAACAGATGCTTCTTTATTTGAATTTGGAGCTGGAACACACTTATACTTTTGCGACTAATGTCTTGCTGAAGCAGATCGTGGGCATCCCAATGGGGAAGACGACCAGCCCACCTCTAGCTTGTATTATTTGCGCCTTTGCTGAGTACTCGATGCTCCTCAGCGTCGGTAACAACGCTCGTCTGATATTCGGCACCAGGCTGATCGACGATATTATGGTGACCATTACCATGAAATCGGCGAGGACGAGGGATAGATTATTATCCTCTTTCATGGATTGCTACCCGGCTGCTCTCACACTCAAGCGAGCGGATGACGGATCCGGAACCTTTGAATTCCTCGGATGCCGCATTCGATCTCAGCAACGATACCCCCATCTAGGCTGCACTCAGCTGTCGAAGAACGAGGATAGCGTCTGGACGGACGGTCAATTGACTGTACAAAATGGGCAATCTTTTCTGTCTTGGGGATGTAAGAAGCAAAAGAGTGCCGTGGTGTGTAGTCACTTACATCGGATTGACCGGAATACAACCGTACGGTCTGATATTCCTCTAAGAGTTCTTACGCTGAAACGGAAACTGTCTAAAAAAGACTTCCCGGATGATTTCTTTCTCAATGTACTCAGACGTTTCGCCTTTCGCAAAGATGAGGTCTGGCGTTTGACTGTGGCATTGTTTGATAACTAGTGTCAGTTTCGGATGCTCTTAGGTACTTTTCTGAACCCTCCTGAATGTGTGCGGGTTGCTGGTGTTCTCAGCCTTTGTTTGTCTTTTCGGCACTCTCCCCTTTGCTTAAGTAGGATATCCGAGTCTTGTCGTGTATTATACCGTCAGTTGCATCAATTCTTTGTGTGGCGAAGGGCACTACACACCTACCAGGCTACCACTATGGCGGGATAGGGAGTATAGTTGCGGTATGTCCGTTTGACCTGTGATGGTTAGACTGGTTTGGCAGCGTATATGCTTCAGCGGTTTGCTCCTGTTGGATTTGAGTAGGTACGTAGTCTGTTATGATACCTGGATTTCCTGTAGTATTGTTGTTTGCTCTGGGCACAACTCACCTATCGCGATGCTGAGATAGGGAGAAAGGTTGCCGTCAGATAGTTTGATCCGTGCTGTTAGTCTATGTTGGCAGCTGTTATACTTTCGCAAGACCTTTGATTTTCTGTTGATATACCTGAGTAGGTACTTAGTTTGTTAGGTGTCGGGATTTTCAGTTTTTTTGTAATTTTGTTTGCTTTGGGCAGTACCCACCTATCACTATGTTGGGATAGGGAGTATGAGTGCCGGATGGTTGTTTGGTTTGTGTCTGGATATTAGTCCGGGTTCCGGTTTTACGCTTCTGACATCGGTTCTCCGGACTCTGCCTTGGGAAGCGCGGCCCTGTCGGCCCCCCCTTTTTTCCTTAGTTTAGGACCTTCTCAGCCCGAAACGGGCGCGTGTTTTGCGGCTGTCCAGGGCCATTTTTCGGGCACCTGGAACCGTTCAGTTTGAGACCGGTAATTTTGTCATCTTTCAGTAGTATATTAGGTGTTAATACAATTAGCTCTATCTCTTTGGGACTGACGTCTAGCTACCCCTACTGGCGTCCGGACGTTGGTAGGAGGAACGGACGGAAGCGGGTAAGCGGTTCGGCCTGGTTAGTACAGGACTGTAGGTGGAATACCCCCTGAAGATGACGGCGCGGCGGCCGTAGAAACGCGTTGGGGATGCCTTTCCGATCTCAATTGTTAATTGCTTTCATTCTACATGTGTTCTTTGCTGCACATGAAGTTTTGTCTCGTTTGCTTTCTCTGCAACGAAGACTATCTCCTTTTCTGACCTGAACCATCCATATAAGATTTTTTTCTTTTTTTTTGGCAGCCATTTTTTTAATTTTTCTTGTTTCCCTGTCAGCCTTGCGCAGGACTATGCTAATCTCCTCTGTATTATTCCAATTTTAATGGTTGTTCCGAAGGACTGACAGCCTTTTTTTTTTTTCACCTTCCGCAGTTTTATTTTGTTACCTTCCGCAGTTTTTTTTTTTTCACCTTCTGATAGTAAATGTCTTTTACTGCGGAAGGTCCAAATTTTGACCTATTAAACCACCAGTAGTAGTTCCTAAAGACATGCGCATTAACGCGCCATGATTTTAGGAAACGTACGGGCCACTACAGAAGCGCCCAGATTCATCCGACTAGACACGTTTCTACTCTATTTTCTTCCACGGCCGATAGCTGGGGCAAGGACTGGTGGTTTGGTTTAAACCACCAGTACTTGGCCCAGCTATCGATGTGGAGCCTGAATATGCCCTGCGCGCCGTTTCGCGTCGACCCGCCAGCGAAACGCAAAAAAAAATGTTTTGGCTGGCGGCGTTGGCCTTTCAGGTCCGGTACCCCGGGCCTCCGGAACTTGCGGGGCATTAAGGACAACGCCCCGCGGCCGGCATATGGGTCAAGTACTGGTGGTTTAATGCCATTTTTCATCATTGATGAAAGACCACACTCAATTGTCGATGGTAGCAGTTTTACTCATGAGAATTGTTTTTTCACTGTGGACATCAGTTTCCTGACAATTATTAGTCGATGGGAGCATTCTTGACCATCGGTAGTCGGACTTTCGTCTGAAAGGTTTTCAAAGTCGACGGATCATTTGTCTGTCAGTACGTCCTGGTCAGTAGCGAAGTCACAGGCAAGTTAGGGCGGGGGCGGTCCGATATCAGAAGAGGAAGTCTGGGAGCCAAGCGCCACCTACAAAAAGTCCAATTGTTGAAGCCGTCATCACATATTCACTTGTTTGCTAATGGGGAAACCAGCCGCACTGATCTGTGCGTCCAAGACCCGTGCAGCGCTGCAAGGGGTAGTCCACGGGGCTTGGCGCGT